CCACCGCCTAGAGATAGGCCGTTGGTCCCCCGAGCGGCATTAAGCAGAGACTGCCGATGTTCATTCGGGGAGGGGACCAGAGGGGAGGCACAGCGACTGGCCCATCGAAGAAGCTCAGCCCTGATGCTGCCGACTGACCCCAGGCGGGTATCGCCCACCTGCAGGTCGGGTGCAGCCCCCACATGTTCCCTCGGTTGAGGCTTGCACTCCGGCTGGCTGCTACCGGGTTCCCCGTAATACTATACTGATAAAAACAAGTGTGATAAACATCCAACGATTGACAAACGACGACCACAACAGGAAAGTTGCCACGGCCACAAGTGAGAAAACCACACCGTGATCAGGAAACTGGCATGTGCGCGCGCGCGAGAGAGAGAGAGAGAGAGTACACCGAGATAAAAGTGAGTATCCCGAAATCGCCCGACCGCGACACAAAAAATGTAACAGTGATAAAAACAAGGCCTGAAAGGCCGTCCTGTCCAGATTTGACAGGTAATTGAATTGGTTGGACTTAAGAGAAACAGCCTTAAAAAAAAAAAAGTGAAACGGTATTCACCTGCTGCAGTAGCCGACGCAGATCCCAGGGCTCGATCCCTAGTCCTCACCTTACCTGTGTACAGTATCTGTGGTGCGACCCCGAGAGGTGAACCCGTGACCTGTGTATTTTTAACTGTTGGTAGACTGTCGTAGGGTCCGTAGGTAGTAGGGGTTCGATCTGTAGACCTGTCGGGTAGGAGTCTAAGCAAGGTCTAGAAGTCGTAGCTGTACCTCCTCCGAAAGGTCAAGGTCGTAGCTGCTACAGTCCTGAAGGGTCAAGGTCGTAGCTGGTACAGTATCGAAAGGCCAAGTCCACGGCCTTCCGGAAGGTCCTAATGGTGGCCTTTCAAAGTTGCTCACCTTTAGCCTGAGGCAAGTGGGCAAGTGGTAGAGTCTACCCGTGCTGAGTCAGCAGTCCCAGTCCCAGTCCCAGTCAGTCCTAGTCCAGTCAAGCAAGTACCGTATGGGACTGTGTGCACCACGGGCATGGGAAAGGGGCAGACCAACGAGATCCAGGAGTATAAATCAAGAGGCAGCACCGATCCATTCATTCATTCCTGCGTAAGCCATGCAGAAGCGCTGCCACAGCGACTTGTGTGAGGTGGTCTGCGGTAGGCCCGAAGACGAAGTGGGCGAGAAGGAAGCTTAGCCATAGCGATAGGGTAGCAGCGGCCATAGCCGCCATAGCTGATCGGAGAGAGTGGCATGTGTGAGTGTGCGAGTGTACAGTGTGTTGCGTGTGGGATATCCACGGTGATCCTGTGTGCGAACAGCGGTGTTGAGTAAGTGACCAACAGAGAGTTGTGCAGGCGCTGATGCGCCACAGCCATCTGAAGTGAAATTGTATCTGAACTGTGTTCCGGGTTTCCATATCTCTGAGTTCGAAGTGGGCGCTTGTCGCCAGTTTGCTGCGCAATCTGTTTGTATGCATGTGAAGGGTGGATGAAGGCGAGTCTGATTGCAAAAGTATGGTCTATTCGAATTTCGAATGTAAAATATGTTTTCTTCAAATACACCTTACGTGAGTTATATTCGAATACAACCCGTACTTACTACTTAGTACTTATGCAATACATTTGAACTTTTCGCACCCTGTTCCGCAAACCGCAACTTTTTTAGGAAAACTAGGTACTCGTTCTAACATATGTGCGTTCTATTCGGGGGTGAAGACGGTGCGCTGTTGTGCTTGGCACGTCTGAGCCCGCCTTACTTGGCCCTGGGAGGTAGAACCTGCAGAGGCACTTTTTTTTTTCTTTTTTTTTTTACTTTTTTTTTTAACCTGCAGAAGTACTTGTTACCTGACTGACACATAGCTCTTTAC